TGCTGAACAGTCTGTAGGACCTCTGAGCGTCCCAGCTTCAACTTCACCTTGTTATTGCTCAGAAATACATCCTTTTGAGGCTGCTTAATTCCCAGGTATCCCCGTGCCAGTTTTGCCCTACTCTGAATAGTTGCCCCATGCAACACCCCCACACACACCCCTTTCAGAACTGAAGTGTAGTCTGTGGATTTTGTTTTCATAGAAAATAAGTGTTTTTACTTGCATGAAGTAGTTTGACTAAATCTAGACTGGGGATTTCTGAATCTGGACACCCCAGCATACCAAAATTACTATTCACCATAGTTAACAAACCAGCTATAAATTAAAGTTAAGAATACCACTTTTGCACTCCCAAACAAACTGCATTCAGACCTCGCAAACAAATCAGCTATAATTTCTCCATGTCTGGAAGTAGCAAAGCATAATAATATCAGTCTGGTTGGTGTGGTTTTATTTGTTGTCTTCTTGTGGGCATAAAAATAGTTAACATCTTATTTTGGTACTGTTGGCGATATATTATTTGCAGTTGGCCTTTGTCGTACTACCATCCTGAATAAAGAAGCTTTGCTGTTGGCACCAAACGTGATTCTCCTGTGTGCACATAGTGAGCACCCTGATATAAGTTCTGAATAACCCTGTTGAGACCCCAATAAACTGGTCACCTGCACACAACCTAGCATTTTTGCTTGCAGTGTGCATGTGTGATAGGCTCTGTAAGACCAATGCTGTTGTTATTTTGAATAGCCCTGAACCCCAGCTTCAGTTTTTAGTGTCTTTGTGCTGAATGGCTTTTGTACTTTGTCCGGCAGAAAACTACTACTAGAGTCAGCCATCAAATAGTTTGGACAACTTCCTGTTCTCAGAAGAGCACCCACCACACCCATGCTTCTACAGGGAGGTTCTTATCTGTTCTTCTGACTTAGAATTTCTTTTCCTCAGCAACACAGCTATCAGCCACCTCTTTCATGTGCGGTGATGGAAATCTGGCATTGTCCAGTATAAGTAGACACTTTTAAACAAAACTGTACCTGAATTGTGTGTGTGTATGACAGATTCATGTAGTGGTAAGGAGCGTGGACTCTAAGCTGGAAGAACCGGGTTTGATTCTCCACTTCTTCACATGTAGCTGCAAATGTGACCTTGAGTCAGTCACAATTTTTTTCAGAGCTGTTCTTGAAAGAGCTTTCTCAGCCCCACCTACCACACATGGTGTCCATTGTGGGGAGGAGAAGGGAAAGGAGATTGTAAGCTGCTCTGAGACTCCTTTGGGTAGTGAAGGGCAAGATATAAATCCAATCTGGTCTTCTTCGTCATCTTATAAATAAATCAATAAAATCTTATGCGAAGTTTGTTTTTGCTGCACTTAGTTCACCTAGCACTATGTTGTCCACTCCAGTTAGCAGTTCTCCTAGCTATCAAGAAGATACATTTTTTCACTTTTGCTTCCTAAGATCATTTTCCCTAATGGTGCTGGGGACCATCTTCTGTATTCTGTATGTGTTGATTCCCATTCTAGGCTTTTGAATGCCGGTTTTCTTATTTTTCATTCTCCTAGACTATTTGTGCAAACCTGAAGACAATATCTACAATATTGACTTCACCAAGTTCAAGATCCGGGACCTAGAAACTGGGACAGTGCTGTTTGAAATTGCCAAACCTTCTGCTTTAGGTAAGCCAGCTGGAAAAAAGCAACAGGAAAATTACAAAATTGTTTATGAGATCCAAAAGTCTCATTTTTTTTTGTCTAGAAATTCTTGGCATCATATTGTGTCCCCACCTGCATGGCTTCTTCAAAATCCTGAAATCTAGGGTAGGGTTTAAGAAGCAACGTAGATAATTTCTGCCAAAGACTGGGAGTGCCTGTCCATGCACCTACATTCATATAGCTTTATCAAGTCCTAGGCAGTAAGCACCCCTGTCCTGTATGGTCCAGGCTAGCCTGATCTCATCAGATCTCAGAAGCTAAGTAGGGCTGGCCCTGGTCAGTATTTAGATGGGAGACCACCAAGAAGTCCAGGGTCACTATGCAAAGACAGGCAATGGCAAACCACCTCTGAACATCTCTTGCCTTGAAACCCCTACTGGGTCACCATAAATCATCTGCAACTTGGTGGTACTTTTCACTACCACCCTCACATAAGGACATAAGAAGAGCCCTGCTGCATCAGACCAATGGTTCATCTAGTCCAGCATCCTGTCTCATCCTGCCAGTTCCTCTGGATGGTGAACAATAGGGCATAAAGGCCAAAGCTTTCCCCTGATACTGCCTTCTGGCTCTGGGATTCAGAGGATCTGTGCCTCTGAATGTGGAGGTTCCCCTCAGTCACCATGACTAGTAGCTATTGATAGACTTTTCCTCCATGAATCTAACTAATCCCCTTTTAAAACTATTTATTCCTGTGGCCATCACAACATCCCCTGGCAGCAAATTCCACATTTTAATCACTCTGTATAAAGTAGTATTTCCTTTTGTCCATCATGAATCTACTGCCCATCAGTTTCATTGAATGCCGTCGAGTTCTAGTATTTTGGAAGAGGGAGAAAAATTTCTCTTTGTCAACTCTCTCCACCCTATGCATAATTTTATAAACCTGGCAGCAAGCCCCAGATTTGCATCTGGAACAAAAATTAAGCAAATTTGACACAAGCTGTTATGCACGATCTGTTGGAAATGCAATTATTGTGCCCTTTTTTCACAATTTCAGAGCAAAACACAGGATTGTAGGATTTATGCATGTGATATTCCTATCCCACACAGCCCCATAGGAATTTGTGTAACTCCAGAATTAGCCATTGTCCATTTACTGTGTGTTCATCGGTTATCCTTGGCTGCCCAGTTTATTGTTGTCTGGTTACTAAATTGTGTTGTTGCAGCTTTTATTATTCATCATATCAGGGGTAGTCCATCACTGGTTTCAGTTCCATTTTTTTAGTTGCCTTATGGAGCTGGTATCTGTCATGTTTCTTCTTTCTTGTTTCTGGTTCACTCTAAGGCCTTTTTGCATGACAAGGTAAACAGGAACTTTTTTTTAATGCTGTTAGGTTGTATGGTGTAACACTGAAGTTTAGAGTTCAGAAGATATCTTTAACAATTGTGTGGTGGTTTAATTCTTATTGCCCTGACTTTCCACTCCCCAGGTATGTCCCAAGATACTTTATTATCTGAAGCCGGAAAATATAAATAGTATCTCTTTGCTGCCTCCCTATTAACATGAGGCACAAACCACTGGAACAAAACCTTGAAATAGTGTTACCGTGCGCTTGAGTAGATCTTGTCCATGTTGGACTCGCATGGGAAAAAGTTCCTGACAACTGTGTCCTGTTACTCAAAGCTGTCTCCTACTGTGTTGCCCAGGATCTACCACCTCAATACATCTTGTTGTCGTAGGGTTGTCTCTGCATTATATTATCACAGTAATTTAAGACCATTATTATGTTTTGCACAATATGGCTTAGATGCTGTTGTGCTAACCTTCCCCCCCAACGAGCTCTTTACCTGTCTGCCTGCCCCACACCCCTCTGACCTAAATCTGTCTCTATTATAGCTTAGAGTTGCTTTGTCAGTGAGCTAATTAGCTGGAAAGGCTGGATTTGGCAGTGAGTGCCTTGATTGGAAAAGCTCCCCTCTCAAAACTGTACTACTCAGATGTTGTGCCTTAAGGATGGGCATGCCTTAACCCCAAATGTTTGCATTATTGTCTAATTGCTGACTCTTTAGTCATTGGTTCTTGCAGAACAAGATGATGATGATGATGATGACAGCGGAGAAGTTGACTCCAGTGCAGGGCGGTTTGTTCGCTACCAGTTCACTCCTGCCTTTCTGCGCCTCCGGACAGTTGGTGCAACGTGAGTAAAAGGGATGGGGAGAGAGTGAGGCCACCTTTGCTGATTACTTCTGTCCCAGGTCTGCCATTGTCGTGAAGTAATTCTGAGTAGATAAGAGGCAAGTTCAGTAATCCAAAAAGAATCTTAGAGTTGGAAGAGATTTTATAAGCCCCAGTTTCAACTCTGTGTTTGATGCAGAAAGCCCAAAACTAGAACATCCACAACAGGTGGCTCGCTGTAGTTGCTGAAAGCTGCACAGCCTGCCCCCCCCTCAAATTGGTTCCATTGTCAAGCTGCTCTTTCTTAATGTTCACCTTACATCTATTCTCTTGTAACACACGGCCATTATTTCTAGTCTTGCCCTTTGAAGCAGCACAGAACAAGTCCTCGCTCTCTTCTGTATGACAGCCCTTCAGGTTTTGAAGTGTGCAGTTATGTCTCCCCCTCAGTTTTCTCTTTTCCAGCCTAAACATTTTCCAGTTCCTTGTAGGACTTGTTTTCCAGACCCTGACCATCTTAATTGTCTTTGGGTTAACTTATTCCAGTTTGACTACAGGCTTCCTAAAACATGTCCAGAACGGAGCACAGTACTCTGGAGAAGGTCTGACTAGCACAGAATAAAGTAGAGCTATTACTTCTTTTGACGTGAATATTGCACTTCTATTGCACATTGACTTGTTTTTGGAGCTGCATCACACTGCTGGTTCGTTTTGGGTGCTTTCACAACACACACTAAATAATACACTTTCAGTCCCCTTTCAGTGCACTTTGCAACTGGATTTTAATGTGTGAAATGGCAAAATCCACTTGCAAACAGTCGCTGCAGTAGATTGAAACTGCATTATTTAGCGTATGTGCAAGCACCAGGTCATTTGTGATTGACTGAAATCCCCAAACCCTTTTTGTGTGTACTACTTTAAGCAAAATATTCTCCATCCTATATTTGTGTATTTGTTTTCACCTAAGTGCAGACCTTAGCATTTCTTTGTTGAATTTCATTTAGTTTCAGCTGAAATTTACAGCCTATTCAGCATCACTTTGATTTTATTTCTCTCTTTTAAGTTGTTGACTATTTTTTGTATCGCCTTCATATTTTATAAGAATTCTCTCCACCCCTTCATCCTGGTTATTAACAAAATTATTGATGAGTATCAGGCTCAAGGACAGTAGCCTCTGCAGCATACCACTTGAAACCTCCCTCCATACTGAGCTATGTACAGGGGTGCTTTAAAAAATCACTTCTGAAACTAGAAAAGTTGAATTCTGCAACCTGTATAAATTAAGCAAGGGTTCATAATTATTCTGATTTTGTGTAATTTATTTTACATAACTTAAGTAGCTAGTCATGGAGAGGGGCCAGGAACTGTACAAAGAATCAGACACACACACACCCAGTCCAGTGATCACTGGAATTCTCACTCAGCCCTTTAAGATTTCAGTGGGGATTGCCCATGTACTTTCAAGCATATCTTCACAACCATAGGAACCAGAAACTTGCATTTCCTCTATTTGAATAAAACAACATTCTTACGAAGCTGTGTTCTGTGGTTTTTACCACTTCTTATACCTTCTGGGCATTCTTGCAGCATAGACACAGCCCTGGTTATCATAAGTTCAGCACAGGTGTTATCCTTAGGGACAACCCTAGTATCACTTTTCCTGCCTTGTTGTTCTTCTGTCCATCCTTCCTTTGCAGTGTTGAATTCACAGTGGGAGGCAAGCCTGTATCGAACTTCCGCATGATTGAGAGACATTACTTCAGAGACTGCCTGCTCAAGAACTTTGACTTTGATTTTGGCTTCTGCATCCCAAACAGCAGGAACACTTGTGAACACATCTATGAGTTCCCTCAGCTTTCAGAGGACCTTAGTAAGTATTTTTCCCATGGAAGATTGCAATGGCAGGCTCAGACCGATGGTCTGTAGGGTTCAAGATTGTGACAATAGCTTTGCCAACTGGGCAACGTGTTAATCAGAAACCACTCAACCCAAGCCAGATTTCCAGAATACTTAGATGTTAGGAGCTTGGAGAGGCCAATTTCTCCATCAGTTATCTCTCTCCCCCACCCCACTGTCTCTCAGCTACTCCCAGTGTTGCAAGGACAGTGAGCATGTCCAGTGCTGATCAGGCTGGGTTTTTGTGGAGGAGGTGTTTTTAATTTATCAGCTAATTTTTGTGTGCATTTGCTTAGGAAATTTCATGATCATGCAGAAAAGCTCACTTTATCTGCAGTTGGGGGTGCTAGACTCCTGATCACAAACTGAGTATTTAGAGGGAACAGGATGAAGGCCTGTAAAGAATCAAATGGTGGGGTAGAAAGGAACTTTTAGGGAATCTCTCATGTGTATATCCGTGCATATACATGCCCCTCTTTGTTCTCTCCCCCACATTTGACTCTCAACTGCTGAAGCATGCTCAGTCGTCGTGATCAGGCCAGTTTGGGCTGTTCCCCCTTGTTAATTTACAGAGTCATAATTTTCCTGCATATCTGGGGAGTCTCCCAGATGTGCAGAAATCTTATTAGTTAGGTGACAGTCATCCTGTTCAGCTATTTTTGTGATTGGCTTGAGCCACTCGTTGTATTATTACTGGGCAGAGGATCATGGTATGAGACACTCGTTTCGTAGACTCTCCCATACACCACTGTTAGAGAGAAGTAATAAATGTGCAGCTTCTCCATTCAGAGACTCCCCCTGCTCCCTGCCAAAGGTCTGCCTTCTCACTCTTCCCCCAGCCAGGCGACCCACTATGCTGTCTTCCAGTGCTTTGTTCATGCTTGGTACACAGAGCTCTCTCTCCCTACTGAGGAGCTGTGCTGCCAACTGTGTCCTGAGTCTGTAAGGCGGGTAGCCTGCTGATGGAAAGGAAGAATGTGGTTAGGAGCAGGGGCTGCTGAGTCATTTGCACTTGTGTTCATTTCCTGGTTTGGTTGCAGGATTGTGTAAATCTGAGAAAGGTGCTTGCACTGCCTGCTGCAGTTTCCCCATTGTTATCTGCTCCTTGACTTCTGGCAGATAAAATGGAGACCCAATTAATGAGTCTCAAATTTAAATGAACAACCTTTGTACAATTTGATGTGGGGGTCTTGTCTCATGTTACAGACAAAAGAACTGTGGGGCCCATTACTAATTGGAAGAGGAAAACTTCCCCTTTCGCTATCTCCTCCCAGATTCCTTTTGTCATTTGGCATAGTGGAAGTTGATTCCATTTACATTTTGTACTTCCTCCTTCTCTCAGTTGCTCCAGCTGTCCCTGTTAAGATTTCAGTCGTGCCTGCTGCTCTATCACTTCTCATTTAATTTCCTGAAATAGGGGGTAAAATTAGGGCTGGGGGAATACATACTGTGTGTCATTCATTCCCTAGCCTCCCTTTCCCCTTCTCCTAAATCTCTCATACATCACTTCGGGTGGTGGAAGAGAAGTAACACATAGCCTGCTTCTGCATTTTACCATTTGGGCTTAGAGCTATGCATGAGGCAGGCCCCCAGCCTGTCACTGTATCTAATAGGAAATTGGCACACTCCATCAAGTCAATGAAAGCATCAAAATTGGGGCATCTACAGACTTTGGCTACAGACTTGGGGGATTCTGAGATATGCAGCAAAGTATGGCTGTAAATGAACCAAAAGGAAAGTACCCCCCCCCACACACACACACTCAAATGGCTTGATGAGGGGACTGAAATGTTGGAGTGTAGAAAATCAGCCTTTTCAGGCCTCTGAGAAAAGAATCATGGAGGTGGATAAATGGGGAGGTGAGGAGGGATTTCAGAATTGACTCTCCTCTCAGTACAGTTCCTTGTGGGTAATCCTTCCTGTAACTATTTCTAATAGTAAACTGATTGGCTTCTATGCTGATGATGAAAGCATCAAAGCCAGGATACTCACCAACAAAGTTGGGGTCTTTACACATTTAGGAGGTTCCCAAGAATGCAGAAATAAGACTGTAAATTATGTGGAAGGGTTGCACTCTCCCTGAAGGAGCAGGTTCACCTCGTTAGAAGTGAGGCTGGTGGCAACTAGATACAGGGCATTTTCTGTGTTGGTGCCCTGGGCTGTGGCTCAGATGTAGATCATCTGCTTGGCATGCAGAAGGTCCCAGGTTCAATCCCCGGTATCCCTAGTTAAAAGATCTGACAGTAGTTGATGTGAAAGACCTCTGTCTGAGACCCTGGAGAGCCACTACCAGTCCGAGTAGACAATACTAACTCTGATGGACCAAGGCTCTGATTCAGTATAAGGCAGCCTTCCCCCTTCAGCCTTCCCCCTTGAGGCTTTCTTGGAGCCTCTTTTACTGTCTTTTAGGTGCTGGGTCAAAACACCTCTTTTTGCCCAGGCTTTTAATTAGAGGTTTTCTCTTTTGAGCTTTTTAATGGTATGCTTCTAGTGTGAGGTGTGTTTTATGGGTAATTTTATGCTGGTTATGCCCTTGGGATGGTTTTAATGGGTTGTTTTTATATTGATAATATATTATTTTAACTGTAAGCTGCCTCGAGTAGGGCTCTGAAAAGGTGGCATAGAAATCTCCTAAATAAATAAATTATCCAAAACGAAAAATCCTTCAGAAACTGTCCTGTTGATAGATTACTCCAGAAGCTGAGAGTTGGGGATGAGGGGTGCAGGGGAGATAGCAGCTTGATCCAAGCCCTTGAGAACTTAGAATCCTGCAGGAGAATATTAGTTTTTTGTGGGCTGCCAGCTTGTGTGTTCCAGTTTCTTTTACTGCCTCGTTTGTTTGCTGGAAGTGATTCCTGTTTCCGTAGCATTTATTGACCCAGAGCTACACTCTAGTTTGGGTTCTTTCCAGGGAGCCTCTGATGCCTGAGTTTGGTCAGCCCAGCTTTTTCTGTGTCTAAGGGGGAATTTTACCTGGCACCACTGAATGCTGCTCATATACAGCTTAGCTCAGTAGACAGGGCTCTGTCAGTGCCATTCATTTCTCACAACTGCTGATGAAAGAGGAGAGCAAAGTAGGACACAAGAAAGCAAAGGTTTCTACTTGTCACTTTCTCACTCAGTAGCTGTCAGTTTTGAAAGCAGGTAAAGTTCAGTGTCAGGTGATGCCAAATGCCTAGTGATTGGTATAGTGATGATACACACAGTAGAGCTGTTGTAGGGTGTATAGTCAGCAGAATGTTGGACTCGGACATAAAATCCCCATTCAGCCATGAAGCTAACTGCACAGTATCCAGCCATCTATGCAGACTTTCTGTCTTCTGTCTTGGAGGAAGGGCAGGGTACAAATGTCACAACTACATTGGTCCTCGTTCTTCTATTACAGGGAGACTCCTTTGTACAGCCCAGTTCAGAATTCTTCACAGTAGATTGATCGTAACCACCCAGACTTTGATCTTCCAATTCAGCCAGTCAAGATAATTTCCTATGGAGGGAAGAAAATTCAGTGTTTTCATGTGCAGGTTTTGTTTTAGGGAGGTAGAGTTGTCAGCATTGCAGTAGAGCTGTCTTCACTGCCACCCTGACAAGTAGTTGTTGTTTGCTTTAGACCACCCAGCAGCTGAGGAAGGAAAGGCTGTTTCAGAGCAACTAATGTAGTGACAGGTGACTTATGCAAAACAGAGCAAAAAGTGAGGCTGTTAGCTCTGTGTTGTATCCCCCCATGTAGCTTTTTTTTAAAAACAAATTTTTATTAGGATATTACACATTTCACATATATCACATTTCTTTTGTATCCCTTTCTCTCTATCTCCCCCACCCTTTTGTTGGCTTCCCACAGCTTTCCACCCACCAGTTCATTATTGTATTTTCACATACTTATAATCCGTTATTACACAACCATAGGTAATTTATATTCCAGTTCTATCTTTGTTCGTCTTCATTCTATTCTATTTCTATAATGTCAATAATTTCCAAAGCAAACCAAATTGTCCTTCACATCCCAGTATTTCTCTAAATAGTCCTTAAAGTCTTTCCAATCTGCAAAGAATTCTTCTGCTTCCAGATCCTTAAGTTTCCTTGTTAGTTTGTCCATTTCAGCCATAAAAAGTAGCTTCTTTATCCATTCTCTCTGGAATTCTATCTTGTTTCCAACTTTGGGCATATAACATTCTTGCTGCTGTTATCATATACCACATTAATGTCCTGTTTGACAAATTAACTTCTTCCATTTTCAAGCCCAACAATAATATTTCCGGTTCTTTTTTAAATTTACATTTCATTATTTTCTCCATCTCCCCATGTATATTAGTCCAAAATAGTTTTGCTTTCTCACAAGTCCACCACATATGGTAAAATGAACCTTCATATAGCTTTTTTTTTTTTTACCATCTCCCGTGTCCTGTGGTTTTTCATTAGTCCTGGTGGGCTGGCTGACTGACTCAAAGCCAGAATGATTGCCAGCTCTAATTGCCATCAGTCGGCTTATATCATCCTCCGCATCCACAAGGGCATGTGAAAATGCAACCCCAGGAGGGTAGCAGGAGCAAGTGGCACTGGAATGGAGAGGAACAGCGCTCGTGCATTCCCGTTAGTGAGCCCCTCACTGCTGCACCCCACTCCTTCCCCTTTTTGCCCTCATATCTGTTTATTTAAAATATATACCCCCCCTTTACCTTCCTTATCACTCTGCACTGTAACTGCAGCACACCTCGGTAGGGAAAGAAGGGGAGTACATTTAAAGAGTTGGATGGGAGGGAATGTGGCTCATGGAGCTTAGCTCTGCCCCCTTCCCCATGGTGGCTATGAAGGAGCATCTAGAACTGCCCCACAGTTTCCTTTTTACTTCAGGGAAAATAAAAGGTATATTTTCAGCAGAGGAAAAAGGGGAGGCAAGTGAATTTTGCACAGATTGGACACAATGTTGTCTGGGCAGTTCTTGTTACTATGGAAATTTCCTGCTTTTTATGCAGGAAAAAAATATCCATGAGCGCAGCAGCCCTGTTAGAAAGGCAGCGCAGAGCTTCAGCTTTTGACCTCATCTCACCTCCATTCCCTAGGCCATTGTTAGGTTATTTAAAGAGGATCTGTTAGAGGCAGTTTCCAGCAGCCTACAAAGGAGGAGAATCCTCCAGGTAGTGCCAGAAGGAAGCAGAGGCCACAGAAGCAGCTATATCCGAGGGAGGCATGACACGAACAGTCAGTCATGGGAGAGGGAGGGTGCGAGCCCACATGGGCCAAGCGCATGGCCCTTTGAGGCAAACAGGCGAGACAGAGGAGCCCTGGAGGATGAGACATTGGTCCTGGGCTCCTAAGGAAGGTGCTGGTCCTTCCTGCAAGCCCAGCACCTTTAAAAAACTGACTAAGGGTGGAAGAGCCAGACCTGTTCTGCAGCTTGCAGGGAGAGAAGGGCAGCTAGAGAGAGAGGGCCAGGGGTGAATCTGAACCCCCTCTCACACTTCTGAGGCTTATCCTAGGCCAATGTCAGAAAGGAGGCTGGAAGGAGAACCACTCCCAGGCTCTGACTCACTGATGGGAGATCCTGACCAGCTGTTTGTGGGCTGAAGCATCTTTCCTCTGGGGAAGGGCATAAAGAGGCCGTGGAGCTCTTTAGATCGAAAGGAATTCTTTCTAAGGGCAGACACGATGGCATTGGCAAGGTTATGAATGGTGCAGAAGGAGTAAATAAGGAACACTCTCTTCACCTTCACACAGTCCCAGAATTTGGGATTACCCAGTGAACTTTATAGGGGGTAGATCTGGGACAGAGGCAAGGACGTATTCCTATACATGACGGTTAGCTTACAGAACTCATTAGCACAACCTGAAATGAAGGCTGCTGGATTAGAAGCTTTTGGCTGTGACTGTAGTGGGGATGGGCTGGGGGGGGGCTTTGGCAGCAAAGTTTGGATTTCCTTGAAATTCCCAAGGCACAGGTGGATGGAGTGGAGGGACTCTATGTAATCTAGCCAATTTTTAGTATGCAATTCAAAGAACACTTCTGAAACAAGTTGGTTGGCTTTCCTCTCTTCTGGCAGCTGTAGGATTCACGCCAAGCCGTTTCAGGGTGCTGTTTATTTTTCTGCTGTGAATAACAGACTCTTCTCTCCTACCTACTGCAGTCCGCCTAATGGTTGAAAACCCCTATGAGACCCGCTCAGACAGCTTCTACTTTGTGGACAACAAGCTCATCATGCACAATAAGGCCGACTATGCGTACAATGGAGGGCAGTAGCTGTTACAACTGCATCCTTCAGACTTTGTGCTACTACTAGCTATTCTGGATGCACAGAAGGAGAGCAGAAGAGCTTGGTGCCTGCTCCGTTGCCTCTTGTGAAACATCCTGCAAGACAAGATGTGAAATGAAGGGTGACCTGATACGACAGTAAAAGAGCTCTGCTTGCAACTCGGCCCTTCCCGGCAATGTTACTTCCTTGGCCCCTTTGGTTTCCGGTGATACTTTAGTCAGATAACAGGTCAGACCATGAAGTGTTAACTGATGTAGCAGTTCTTGTCACTGGACAGACTTGGCCTGTATGTCTTGTGTATTCTCCCCCTTCCCCCAGAAGAGACCACTTTCTGTCCAGAGACCACTGGGCCAGATTCTGCAGTCTGAGGCTGCTGCCTTTTGCAGGTACTGAGTGAAAGTTAAGTATCAGTCTCCCTTTGAAGGGTCCTGGGAGCTGGTGAATAACTTTGGGGATGCCAGTGGTTCAGCCAATAGATTTGATTTTGATTGCCTCGCAGTTTTCTTGCTGCGCAGCAATTCTCAAAGACAGCATCAGGATAGGAACTTAAAATGAGTTACTGCACATTTAAAAGGCGCAGGACTGTCTCTTCAGCAGTTTCTGGCCTTGCGTGTTCTTAGGGCACTCTTTGTGCACCTGCTTGCAAAGAGGATACCCAGAGCCAGCACGTGGTTATGATAGCTGGAGGGCCAGAGTAACCTGTGGGGGAGCAGATCCCATTCCCTGCTCTGACTTGAAGCTCCCTGCGTGACCTTTGGTCGGTCTCTGTTTCAGCCTAACATACCTCAGGAGGTTCTTATGAAGATAAAGGGAGTCGGGGTAGGGGAAAGGCCTTTTGTGTCCAGGAAATGGAAGTAGGCAGAGCTAAGCATTGCCACCTTGGCCACCTCCCCCAGCTTCTTATCCCATAGGACAGTTTTACCCTTTCCTTGATAGGGTGCGCAAAGTGAGGTGGGGAAGGAATGAGTGTTACCAGGAGCTGCCTGATGGACATGCCGCACGGTAGGTTAGGTCTTCCCAAGGCTTTCTCCTTTATCTGCTGAAAACGCAACAGTTCCTGAAAAGGTATTATCATAATAAATGGTAGTGTTAATCATCCTGTATTTTCCTGGACCAGGGCTTCACCTCATGCCATTATCAGACTCTAGAGGCTTTCCTAGTATGGCGAGGTGCGGCCCTTGCACTTAGCTATGAAGTGAAAGCAAAAAATGAAGGGATTCCCCCCCCCCCCAAAAAAATTCTACCTGTGCTTTCCCTGTTTGGTAGGCTCATTATGTGGTTTAGGAAATTGATGACTGTCTTGAGGACACAGCTCACCCTGTACATGTGGCTTATAGGCTTTGAGCCAGTTGATAAGTGCCTGGCCCTGGGGGAAAGGGGAGCGGGTCTCAGCCTTTGAGACAGGCATCTACTTCTCCATATGTGATTACCTTCCACTATGTTTCTCGTCCCAGTCTTCTCTTCCCTACCTTATCCCATTCTTGCCTTGCTTCAAAGCAAAAGTGGTATTTCCTGCACCAGAGGAAAAGTTGTGTTGGAGTACGCCATTTTTAAAGGCCCACAGTCAGCTGCTGATTATCCTGTGTGGTGATCTGTGTAAGACACAATTTAAGTAAAATCAGATGACCTTAGAAGAAAGCTGTGGGTGGAAATTCCCTTCTTCCCTGGCACTAAATCCCTATTGGGGTGGTGACAATCCAAAAATGGGACACCAGGGGGCGATGGAGTGGCCACTGAAGGAACACAGGATGGCAATCACTTGGTCTCATATTTAAAAGAGAGGATATTTCAAGCAACCCAGACCTATGAAATAGTGGGGTATAATAAAGCTGGGCAGCTTTCAAATGGGTACCTGAGTTCTTTGCAGGGTAAAAACCCGGATAATGCAGAAGACATTTCATGTACTCCTCTTGTTTCTTCCAAAAAGCACCGGTGCTTCAAAGGATGGATGTCTTGTCTGTCTCTTCCAGCTACTCAGTTGTCTCCTGAATGATGCTAATTTTGTTGCAGTCTGCCTGCTGTTCTCCCCAGAAAAGGTGCCTTTTTCTCCCTGCATCCAAGGCCACATAACAGAGGAACGTTAAGGAGCTCCATTCTTGTTCTGTAGAAGATTGTGGAAGTCCCTGCATCAATGTGGTTAAACATCCAGTGCCTTTAAACATCATTCTTTGTGTTAACTCAGGCTTGGACATGTAATAGATCCTGTCTGCTTCCCTGTACCTGGGTGCAGTCAGAAAGGTTATATACCGTAGTAATCTGACCCAGGAGTAGGTATAGTCAGCAATAAAGTCTTGTCAGGGAAGTTTATGTCAGTGACTCGCTTCCTGTCTGTACTGTGTCATCTGTTCTCTTGAAAGCTGATGCTCCCCACCCCGAAATCTAGCCGCTCTCTGTGTGCCTTGTGTGAGAATAAGCTACCACCTCAGCAATAAGAAACAGAAGGGCTGGAAGGGAGGAGAATGGCTTGTTAGATGTCAGAACTGGGCCGCTGCTTTACTGGACCAAATGTTCAAAGGGGCCAACGATGCTGGAAGTGACAAACATGCCCAGAAGTGCCACTTGGTGCAGTCTGGGACACTTTCTGAAAAAGGATTGTCCTCAGTTCATGTGATGTCCTGCTCTTGGCTACTGGTCAGCGTGTGTATTTTTTAATTATTTTTGGGTCTTTTGCTGCCCTTGATACAAGCTCCCCAGGTCATATTTGTTGGGATTGGTTAGCACTGTTGTGGAAACTTGTATTCCCTCTGAGAGGGCTGTCATTCTGATACAGTAACTGCATTCCTGGATTGCTTGCTAAGGAGATAAGAAGTGTGCTTCTGCTATGTCGACCAAGGAGGAAGCAGATGTAATCGGAGCCTCCATCCAAAGAATGGGGCATTTAAGCATATACTTTCATCAAATGGGCCAATCACTCAAGCAGCTATGAATCCTCCCAAATTTGCCATGTTAAAACTATCTTAATCATTCCTACACAACAATTGTGTGGGTGACGGAGGGGGGTTGTTTATGATATCTGGCACCCTAGGCCTGCCTAGTGAATCTGGGCCAAAACGTTAGTCTCCGTGACTTATAGTCATCACCTTCCATTTGTGTGTGTGTTCCTTCTTATCCCTGTGGAGGACAAAGGGAGAAATGGGGCTTGTATCATTCCTTGGGTGGAATGCAAATTTGGAACACTTGGAAACAGGGAACAGTAGCAGAAATTGATTGGAGAGGCATTGAATGGTATGTGACGGGATTGTGGTGCGAGGGTCATGTTTACCATCAAGTATCTGCCCTGTAGCATCAAACTGTTAGGCTGGGTGTTGGTCTCATGTTGTTTTTGACAAAGATTACTGTTTTTGTGTTCTTACACTCATGGTTGGATGTCACTCACCTCTGCATGTCCCAAGTATTGGATGCAGTCCTTGGAGTAATAATCAACATCCTTCACCACCACTACAAAATAAAGGAGACCTAGTAATAAGGGGACAGCTGTATTCTGTTAGCAGTTCCCGTTGTCAAGCACCAGCAAATGTCATGGTCTGTTGTGGGGACCTCTTCTGTTTTTTATTATGAGTTATCCTAAAAGCACACCAGACTCAGGCAAGGTATTAAAGTATTTCTCAGTGCCACTGATTTTTGGGTGCTTGCTTCTGATGACAATATAAGACTGGTTATGCAGTATTATGTGACCAAATTACCAGCAAGGGGGTGGGGGACCAGTTGCAGTGCTATCAGAATGGAGACCCAGCACAACTTTTTGGCTCTGAATTGGACACAGACAATTCCCCACTTGTCTTCTTTTGCAGCTAGCTTTCTGTTCTGTCGTGGGTTTTGGCTGAGCGTATGTCCATGTCTTGGTCTCTGGGTTTCTCTGTGTCTGTAGCCCAGCGGAGGGCCCTAGGAGTTGTTCCCTTTATGTGTAGGAAGAATGGTAGCAAGTCCAGAAGATTTCTCCCAAGTATATTTTTCTGTCAAGGTATTTTTCCACAAAGAATGGCCGAAGTGTCAATGAAATTGTCTGTGATTCCCCCCCTTCTCCTCTTCCAACTTCACCCCCATGGTTGACTTTATCATCTTGTTTCTCTCCTGGACCATAGTAAGCTCTAGCTGACTTATTTGTATAAAATGTTATTTTGTCACAAGCAATAGTAATTAAAAAACCCAAAATTTACACTTGATTCTCGTCTTATTTAGTTCATGTTTTTAGGGGCAGTGGGTGGGAGATCTACATATTATGATTTTAGAAATCAGAGGATTCTGAAAATGGAGCCATTCAATTCCAGCCTACACATAGATGGGCAATAAGTTGTTTAGATGTTCTACCTTGAAACATATAAGTGACTGCTGATAATAAGCTTTCAGCATTACTTTCCTGTTTTAAGATTGCACAGGAACAGTGGTGAAAATTTCCCGTTCAGAAATGTTTGGTTGCTGAAGCCATGTGGAATGTGGGCCAAGATGTGTCTTCTTCCTACCTGACTGTCATGTGTGTGGTCAGGTGTGGAAAAAGCTTGTCATTAACTATGCCCAGCAGATTCCAGTTGCCATGGCAGAAGGACCCAAAGGTAGCCCTCCATTTGACATACCTAATGCAACTACTTGGTGGTATCAACTGACACAGTTCAGTGAAGTGCCAGCCCTCAGGTGTTTGGTTTTTATTGATTCTTACCTGCTTTCAGCATATTAATGTAATGACAAGATGTGAATTTAAAATGTTACTCTAATAATGTGAGAGTTTGTACAAAGTTAGAATTGTTTGAAGACGTCTTTGTCAGATTAGGATCTGGCCTAGTTCATGGATATACAGCAAAATTGGGACGCTCAGCATGTATAATTGACATATGAAGAGAACACCAAGATCAATTATTCATGTTCTGGAAGGAAAACCTTCATGTCATAATAACAATTTGTAGATGGAACCCATGTAGAGTATTCAGATTTTCAAAACATGCATTAAACCTGACTTGTTGCAGACAGGGTTCTTATGTTTTCCTTCCGAAATGTGACTTACATCTAGGATACGCATCTCATTGAGTTCAAGTTTAAATATACAAGTCAAGTATTACAAGATGCATGGACTAAAATAATTTCAAGTATTTTTGAATTTAAAAATGTATGTATGATCACAATTCTGGAACAACTTACACTTTCATGTCAGATTAGATTGGATTTATTAGTGCACCTATTGAAGTGCCTGTGTGCACCCGCTAACTGTGCGCAAATTGATTTAATGCCTGTGAGCACATTTTGTGACTTCAAAGCTGCTTGTTTGGCTCATGTTATTGGATATATATAGGGATTGCATTACAAAAGACATAGGGACTTGGTTAGCATTAAAATTGTATTTTAATGATATACAGATAATTCTTATAGTTACTGAAAATTGGCATTCTCTTCATTTGCTAGTTCATGAATAGGCAGCCCTCAGCACACATGCCAAATAGCAGCTTGGCATGCAGGGCTGGTTCTCCGCCCAAGGAACAGAAGTGACCCCCTGAGGAGCTGGCAGCATCCCTGGGCCTCAGCTGGCTCCCAGTATGACTAGCCAAGTATATTCCTTGTCTCATCTGATATTTGGCAGGACACCGACACCTTCAGTACAGGCAGATGTTGCAGGGGGTTTGGTGACCAGGTAGAAAAGCTTGCCTACCCCCAACCTGGATGGCCTACAAAGCCCTGACCTACAAGTAGGGCTGCCAGCCACAGGTTGGGAAATACTTGGTGATATTGGGGATGGAGCCTGAGGAAAGGGTGGATTTCAGTAGGATGTAATGCCATATATTCCACCTTCCACAGCAGGCATTTTCTCTAGACAAACTGATCTCTGTCATCTGGAGATCACTTGCAATCCCAGGAGATCTCCAGCCACCACTTGGCAAGATTTATTCCATGCACAGGTCACTCTTTAAATCTGGTGGGCCGTTCAGCTGTGGATTACTGCCTTGATGCAGTGAACTGTTTTGGCATTATCAATGAAATTTATACCTTCTTTTCATCCACCACCTGGAGGTCGGCAAACCTACCTACAAGCCCTGACTTGGATGGCCCAAGCTAGCCTGATCTCATCAGATCTCAGAAACTACGCAGGTCGTCCCTGGTTAGTATTAGGATGAGAGACCACTAAGGAAGTCCAGGGTAATGGCAAACCACTTGTCTCTTGCCTTGAAAACCCCATGAGGGGGCCACCGTAAGTCAGCTGCGAGTTGACAGCGCTTTCCACCACCACTCAAACAGGTATTTCAAAAGAAAGTTAAAAACTGCCCAGCTGGGTCATATAAAAGATTCTGCTAGCTCAGCATGCGGTTTCAATTCCAAGCAGTACCCAGACTAGACATATAACATTTCTAGAAATTTCGAAGCCATGGGGGAAGAGATCATGGCTTCTCTTCCCCTTTTTATAATTGAAGGATTGAGGGGTACTGGAAAGATGTGCAGTACTTTTTCTTATCAAGCCTACAATTATTTTAACAACACAATACCCATAATTTATAGCTTAGCATATAAAACGGTACAATTTGGTATATTTATGGCATTTAGAAATGTAAAGTAAAGGTAAAGGTTCCCTTGCTCGAAAGCCAGTGGAATCTGACTCTAGGGTTGCGGTGCTCATCTCCGTTTCAAAGCCAAAGAGCCAGCGCTGTCCGAAGACGTTTCCGTGGTCATGTGGCCGGCATGACTAAACACCAAGGCGCACGGAATGCTGTTACCTGAAGTGGGCTGTTACCTGAAGTGGGAAGGTAACAGCTACTTGCATCACACTCCGTGGCCTGTCAACCCAGTGCCTGATTCCTCCTGCTCCACCCTGGGGCTGTCATTCCACTCCGTGGCCTGTCATCCCAGTGCCTGAACACTCCTGCTCCACCCTGGGGCGGCTGTCGTTCCAGTGCCAGAATACTCCTGCTACTCCCAGGGGCTGTCATTCCAGAGATCGTAATGGAAAATTCATTCCGCATTTTCTTTGCAACTCTTCTTGTGCTGTAATGTATAAAGGAGTCCATGCAAGTCTAGTCAGCATTCCTAGCTCCCATTATTTCCAATGGGCCTTCAAGCCTCTCCCATTGTTTACAATGGGCAATCCTGTCCTGTCCTTTTAGTACATCCCGCTGCAGGTGGAGGAGTGGGGAATCAAGCCTGGTTCTCCCAGATGTGGCGAACACACAGTATGGTTTTGATTTTTTTTAAAAAAAGATAATGCCATGTTTCAGGCAAGCTGAGAAGAGAGAAAGTAGCAAGCCTGCTCAGCCTCTCAGGATCACTGGGTGTTCTCTGATTAGTAGACACTTGTCAGGTGACAGGTCCTTTTAAATAGTGCTGGATTGGGAATTCAATCTAATGGGGTTTGTGTGATGTTTTGCAAATCTGCACAGTTGCTGATTCTCCTTGGCACTTTAGCTGTTTGTATTTTATGTATTAACCAGAACCTCTCTTCTTCACCCCTGATCATGATACTGGAGAAATGTTCTCTCTTTCTGGAATAATCTGTGTGCGCTAGATCCCTCTAGGTCTGCCTCATTTCTCCTGCGCTCTTTTTGATGTCGTGACCTTTTACACATATCCAGTACTCATACACTCATTTAGCAGACCAGAAAAGCACTACGGCTTGAGATCGTGCAGGGCTGCTGGACTTTGCTCTCTCCCTGGCAACTAAAAGCCACTTTGAACAAAAGGGATTTGTCCTGCTTCTGGAAGACCTCTACATTGGGGCTTTGATGAGGTTAGGAGCAGGGCTTCCAGACAGATGTTAAGCCCCAGTGCCTCTTTTTTTTAAATAAACAAAAAAGCACAAATGATCAAGCTCTGTCTAAGAGCTTTGCAGCGTGTGTGGGCTGTCATCTTTGCAAACTCCCAAGGAATCAATCCAGCCGACAGAGATCAGCCCCCCAGGAGAAAATGGCAGTCAGCTCTATGGCTCTGGACTCCCATTGAAGCCCCCCCCACCACGGCCCAGCCTTCCTCAGGCTCCACCCCCGACCTTTCCAGGTATTTCCCAACCCGGAGCTGGCAACCCTACCCCCCCCCCACACACACAGCGTGGTTTTCAGAGGGGGGGGGGGGGGGGGAGAGGCAGGACCCCTCCCCCGTAACGCTTTGGGGCTCTCCTGCTGAGTGGGTGCGGGGAACCCGAGCTGGGCCTGGGCTTCCCCCCGACAAAACGCTTTAAAAACAGAAAGGTACAGTTTGGCCTCCCGTCAGTTTCATGGCTGAATGGAGATTTGAACCTCCGTCCTGCTCTCTGCACCGTGCAAAATCTGGAACAGCTCGATCCGAGTCCAGTAGCACCTGTGTAAATGGAGTTTCTTTGCAATTTTCTTTTTTAACAACAATTAATCGTGATCCTAAACTAAAGTGGACTTGAAGTCTTTTTGCGGCTGAGGAAAGAAATGGCCGTGAGGGGGCGGGGAAGTCAGCAGCTCATTAATAGTAACGAGGAGGCGGTGGAGGCAGGCCGCAGGAGGCGAGGCTGACAGGCAGGCTGCGTTCCTTCCCCGGTATGGCGGCGGCTTCCCTCTTGGCGTGTCGGTGGGGCTCCGTAGGAAGAGGCAAGTCGAAGAAAACCCCTCGCTCCCTCTCCGGCGCTGTCTCTTGGTATGCGCCAGTTGTCCCCAGGGGTTCGTAGAAAGGCCTGGCGCGTACCAAGATGGTAAAGCGGGGTGAGCTTCAGTTGTGAGGGAAGTTTGGGCGGGTGGTCCATGGAGGTTGCAAGGAAAACTCTTCTCATGAGAGGGAACCGGGAGAAGAGCGTTTGAACCCGTGAAGGGCACTTCGTAGTGCCGTTGGGTATTCTGTTGTGTAAACTTGGCCTATGGAGAATGGCAGCACAGGGAGCATGGGGACCTTGGCCTGGGGAAGATGGCTTTGGGATGCCAGCCTCCAGGGGAGACCTGGGGATCCACCGGAATAACAGCTCATCCCCAGATAACAGAGATCAGCTTCCCTGGAGAAAACAGATGCTTTGGAGGGTGGACTCTATGGCATCACACCCCACTGAAATCCCTGTCCTCCCCAGGCTCCACTCCCAGATCTCCAGGAGTTTCCCAATCTGGATCTGGCAACCCCATCCCCCCATCCCCTGCTGGTGGCCAGGGGGGACCTGGCAACCTTAGCTCAGATGTTAACACATCAAATACTGTGCTAGATGATGTACAATTAAGAACAACAAAGCCATTTGAAAGGACAGGACCACCAGAGGGAGGGGGAAGGGGTGAGTTGGTGGGCGGGAGAGCCGGGCAAAGCTTAATTTGAAACTCTGGCTTGGCATTTAGACTATAGCCCGGAACATGTAATGCTGATTAAACATCTATCCACTTCCATGTGCTGGGGCAGTATATCTCTGGATATCAGATACTGGAGACAACTGTGGTTTGCTGGAAGAGATCAGTGGGCCAACTTTATAGCAAAGACGTTTTCCCCTGAAACAGACACAGTTGGTCTCCCTGCTAGAGTCAATGCACCCCAGAGATTAGAAAAAAGAACTCCCAGATTGGGGTTTATAGATAAGAGAGTGCCAGCTGGTATTCGACTTACCTATAAAGGATAGGACGACCCTAGAAGTACAGGTCAAGTTTCCTGTATGATATTGCAGGGGGATTTTGCAGCCCACCCCTTGAGTCATACAGCACAGAATGTCTTGGGACATCTCTGGATAAAGCACTTTGGGGGGATGTTCACTCTTGATCAGAAGGAGGTGGTACATTTAGAGGAAAAGTGCATGAAGGGCCAGAGAAAATGGTAATGGGCAGGGGGAGGAGGCTGGGTGATGTAGTAGTTTGGTTACACTCAGGTCCTGTGGTGTTCAGTTTTGGCTAGATTGGCCAGGGAGTAAGAAAGCAAGCCTCACTCTGTCTTTGCCCCAGATGTTGATGGGAGAGGTGGGATCTTTGAGAGGGACATAAGGCGCTATTCACCTTTCTTCTCTGTTGGCAAGGAACTTTTGGGTGTGGGTTGCTCTCTGTCAGGTTGCAAATCCTCTCCAAGCAATTGACCTGGTTGTAAAACAGAAGGGATCTTTTCAGGCAACTCAGCTCTTGCCCCTTCTATAAAGCAGGGTAATATTGCTGCAGTGGATACTGTAAAAAAGGGTGTGGATGTGTGTGTGTGTGTGTGTGTGTGTGTGTGTGTGTGTGTGTGAGAGAGAGAGAGAGAGAGAGAGAGAGAGAGAGAGAGAGAGAGAGAGAGAGAGAGAGCACTGAACATTCTGGGGGTGAGTTTGGTTAAGTATTTGCTACATGCTGTTTTGGTAGCTGCAGTGGATGTGCCAATGGCTAGTTATCTTCTCTCGTCTCTGTCTTTGGTTGAATGCTCAGGACTTTAATCTTGTCTTTCTGATGGAAGAAACTGAAAGGTTCAGAATGGGAGATTCTTCCTATAGTTCAGGAGCTGGTGCTTGCAGGAAACATGCAAAAAAAAAAGCAGCACCCCTCCAACTTCAATAGAGGATTTTTTTTTCTCATCCCACCAGGATTTCCTTTTGCAGCTCGAACTTTCCAATGTATACGACATCTGCACACTGTATACCAGACAGTAGAATTGCCAGAGACTCACCAGATGCTCCGCCAGACATGCCAGGACTTTGCTGAAAAAGAGCTGGCTCCTATTGCTGCTGAGCTGGATAAGGAGCACCGCTTTCCTACTGATCAGGTACCAAACACTTGCTGCGTCTTTATGCAGCATGTTGCTTTGTTTTATGTAGCATCCTGGATGCCTCTGAAGGACTTTCTTGCAACCAAGCGGGTTCATCAAATAGAGAAGTGTGTGTCTCAAGACTGAGCCAAATGTCCCAATTGCCTTTAGTATCGTTATATTTGTCGGGATCTGGATCTTAATGCTGCCCAAATCAAGGAAAACATTTTTCATATTCATACCTATGTCTCTGCCAGAGGTAAAGGTGTTTTCACTATTATTTATTTACATTATTTCTAGTTTGATTTTCTTCCAAAGAACTCAGGGCAGCTTTTAGAAACCCAGCATTCTACACTCAAGACTAGACTACTTCAGTGCACTCTACGTAGGTCTCCCATGTAGTTAACTTTGAAGACTCCAGTTGGTGCAAAACACCACAGTTCAGTTATTATCAGGAGCTAAGCAGAACATACACATTACTCCCATTCTGCAGATACTCCATTGGCTACCTGTCAGTTACTGGGTTCAATTAAAGGTATTGATTTTCACATACAAAACCCTTCATGGCCTTGGTTCCTGATACCTGTGGGACCATTTTTCACTGTATGCTCCACCATGACAGCTTTGCTGACTGGAACAAGGTATCGTCCAGGTGTCACTATGCAAATAGGCAAAGTCAACAACTTTACACATTACAACAACTTTACACAACAACAATACACATTTATTCTCTGTCATAGCCCCCACCTTAGGAAATTGCAAGCCTGTTGAGATCAGGAAGGCTCCCATCTGGGAGGGCCTTTTTACACAGGTAACCAGGGCTATACTGTAGCAAAATGGTTCAGAAAGATGCTCTGGGACTGTGTGTAGTGCATAATGTCTATTGCTGTAAGTATGATCCTGCTATGTAATTTCTGCATTGTCTGACATGTCATGTTAATGCTTATGCTTCGTTTTAGCTCTGTTTTCAGATTGCTGTATTCGTTGGATGTTCCATCCACTTGATTATATTTGACTTAAACTCTATAATCCAAGTCTCAGTAAGAAAATAGAACTATAAGATCAGCTGACTTCCGCAATCTGTGTAAATGTTCATAATTTCATGCAGATTCAGCTGTTTGGTGCCTCAGTGGCTGAGCCTCCTTGCCCTTCCTCGATGAACGGAAGCAAGAGAGTCAAGATATACACATTTTTCCACGTTTTGTTTTCTTGCTTCTGTTCATCATGGAGAGGAGCAAGGACGACCTGCATGGGGGGCACTGAAGCCTTTGCTGTTGGCGTCTTAATTAATCCTGCTTGTGAGTTAGTGCCAGTTCTTCTGTACACCTGTTTTCAGGACATCTGAAGGGCTTGGCTTTTTAAGTGAAAGGTGAGGTTCTCAGGAAGCTGAATTCTGCTATATTCTGAGCTTTCCTGCAGATGGAATTGCAGCCTACAGCTTGTGCTTGATTTTAATTGTGATTTATAGAATGCTGCCTTACACAAAGGCTCAATAAACTGAATTTTAAAGTCAACAAATAATAAATTTTAAAGTAAGCAGTGACTAATAAATTTTAAAGTCAACAAAAAATAAATTGTGCAGCTTATGGTGGTTTTTATTACCGCAATATGTGTAGTACTGCAATTGAACAACTTGCTATGGATCTCCTGAGGGAATAAACTATTATTTGAGCTGGAGAGTCATTTGAATTCTGCCAATTCCACCCACGTTTCTTTAATGTTGTTTTTAACCTGGACATTGTTGCCACTTCAGTTTCTCCTCCCTTAATGAGCTCTGTCACCTGTTTTCTCTATCCAGATCAAGAAAATGGGGGCTCTTGGACTACTAGCTATGGATGTGCCAGAGAAATACATGGGAGCAGGACTTGATTACCTCGCGTATTCCATTGCCGTGGAAGAGATCAGTCGGGGCTGTGCATCTACAGGTGTCATCATGAGTGTCAATAATGTAAGCTGTCTTTCTGCTGTGTGAGACACCCTGGGGTTCTTCCTCTAGGCCTGGAGATTGAAGCTGCTGTTCTACTTTGAATGGGGCAGATATCTATTGTGATGTAGGGAGAGTGGATTGTGTGATACTCTTGTTGATGGTGGTTTATAATCTGAAGGTCATATTCCTTTTATTTGTCTTAAGTCCCTCTATTTAGGACCGATTCTGAAGTTTGGGTCTGAAGACCAGAAACAAAAGTGGATTGCTCCATTCACCAGTGGGGAAAGAGTGGGTTGCTTGGCCCTCAGTGAACCAGGTAACTTGGGCATTCAGATTCTTTGCTGGATTATGGTGTTCCTCTGGGCCAGAGACGTTTGTGGGCTTTGCTCATGGGGGATAATGTATCTTGAGAGGTCAGAGAACTGCAGATGAAAGGGGTGGATGCAGACTGGGGTGTTAGCAATAGACAGGGCTGTATTCTTGCTAAAGAACAAAACATAACTGCACCCAGGTAATCTTGTTCTATCACCTTCTTGTGCCCAATTTGATTATTTCCATTTTGCATAATTTATTCTGGTTTCCCAAGTCAAAGGAAATAGCAAGGTGGTATTTAAGGCACAAAGGCCCATCTCCTGGAATGCTAATTCAGCTATCTCTCATGCCTGAGAGCAGTGGATATTACCTGCAGACTGAAATATAACATTGTAGACATAAAGGCTAGGACCGTGTGTTATTTTTATGAAAACTGAAATTCTCACGATGCTAAATTGTGTAGTGAGTCCCTTGTTCTGCTCATTTTCTGTGTCCATGTAGAATACATCCAACCCTGATTGCAAGTTCTCTTAAGAACAAATTTAGAGTCCAGTGGCACCTTTAAGACCAACAAAGGTTTATTCAAGGTATGAGTTTTCATGTGCATGCACACTTTTTCAATTATTTGAAAAGTGTGCATGCACACGAAAGCTCATCCTTTGAATAAACCTTTGTTGGTCTTAAAGGTGCCACTGGACTCTAAATTTGTTCTACTGCTTCAGACCAACACGGCTAACCATTTGAAGCTCTCCAAGATGTAGCTATGTTGCTCCAGTGTCCTTTTAACTAAGGCTGGACAATTGACTATTAGAATCAGGCAGGCAAAACACTCAGTACAGGAGCTGTTATGATTTACCAAGGCTTTTCAGAGCAGGCTAAGCCTGTTAGGAGACAGTCATTGGGGTGCAGGATAGCATTAGCAGTGCGGGGAGACCAGCAGCGGAAACTGCTTGCAAGTTAGTGGTGATGAGCAGTAAGAAAAGAAAGAAGGCCAACAGTAGAGGCCCAGTCTGGCCGATGCACCTATTTGGTGAAGAAGAAATGCTCTCTGAGCCTTGTGCAAGCTCCTGTACTATGATCCGGTAGCTACCTAAATGTGAGTGAGCCAGGTTTCTTAATGGTATTAAACACATGGCCCTTATAAGTTGCTACAATCATTTGTTGTCAGTGGAAGAGCTCAAGGCCGCTGAGGGGGAATGCTCTTGAGGTGGGGGCACTGCAGCCCCTGGCTAGCACAAGAGCAAGATCTGGCATGTTCATTTTTTGTCTTGCATGATGCCTCGCCAAGGAAATGGCAGCGATGCAGGAGCCGCTTCAACAGTGGCCCGGCTCGTTGGCAACAAGTGGGTCTTAAACGGCACCAAAGCCTGGATCACCAATGCTTGGGAAGCCAGTGCGGCTGTGGTGTTTGCCACCACAGACAAATCCCTGAAACACAAGGTAAGCACTCCAAATGGGTATTTGCTTGGCGGGAACACGCCGGAGCTTCACAGTCACACGTGGGAGTTCAGAACAGAGAGGCTGGCTCTTGGGGGCTTGAGAGGGATCTGAGAACCATTGCCCCTCACTACAGTAAATCTGCTCTCATTTTCCCTCTGCCTGGTTCCTTCACTACTCTGCCAGGGGGGTGGCGGCATGAGGTGAGTGGTGGGACAAGCTTGTTTTTGTGCACCTTTTTGTCCCTTTGAGCAACCTGCACAACCAGCTGAACTAAACACAGTGAGCTAGCTTGTGTACCTTGCATGGTGCTCTGGACTATACTGAAAGTTGTCGCTTTTTTCAGGGTATTAGTGCCTTCCTTGTTCCAATGCCAACCCCGGGCTTGTCTCTGGGCAAGAAAGAAGACAAACTAGGAATCAGAGCATCATCCACTGCCAACCTCATCTTTGAGGACTGCTGTATTCCCAAGGACAACATGCTGGGGGAGCAGGGAATGGGCTTCAAAATTGCCATGGTGAGTGAATTGAGAATCATAGAATCACAGAGTTGGAAGGGGCCATACAGGGCACCTAGTCCAACCCCCTGCTCAATGCAGGATCAGCCTAGAGTATTCCTGACAAGTGTTTGTCCAGCCGCTGCTTAAAGACTGCCAGTGCGGGGGAGCTCACCACCTTCCTAGGCAGCTGATTCCACTGTGGCACAACTCTTACTGTAAGAGTGCAACCTCTTTTGAGAAGTACATCATGCAAACTCTTCCATTATGATTTGGGAATGAGAGATCAGACAATTTATATCAAGGGATAAGGGAGTACTGTTGACCAGCACCATGCCTTCTTGATTATTGGCACACAGGGTTGGCCTGTCTTTCTAGCCACCCAAGGGGCAATACGGGCCTATTAGCTGAAAGCTGTGATGGAACACCCATTCAAACAGTATGAAGAGGTCTTCGAATATTTATTGTTTCTTTTATACCCCCCTTTTCCTCCCAATGGGGACCCAAAATGGCTCACATTTTTCTCTTTATCTCCATTTTATCCTCACAACAACCCTGTGAGGTAGTTTAGGCTGAGAGTATGTGACTGACCCAAAGTCACCCAGTAAGCTTCCATGATAAGAGTGGAGATTAGAACCTGGGTCTCCCAGATCGTAGTAAGACACTCTGACCACTACACCACTCTGACTCTTTTTTGAATATCAGGCTTACTATAGCTACCCTCTCTCTGGCAGAATGGAAGCTTGAGGCATTCCTTCAAAGATCTTAGTGATGACAAGGTGCTCAGTGGGATTTAGTGGGTGGAGAGAAAGAATGTGTGCTTCTGGAGGTGGGGCAGGTGTGAGTTTGGAGGAAACTGCTGTTGGGTTTTTGTAGAGGTGGGAGATGGACAGGAAGCAGGGTGAGAAATGAGAAATCCCCTTTAGTGTCAATTTCCAGAGATGTTTGGCTGCTTTATCCATTGGATTGCCCAGACATGGCCTGCTGCTAAGCAGTTACTCCTGTATCTTTCAAACATTTTGAAACGAGAATGCAACCTCTTTTGAGAAGTACATCATGCAAACCCTTCCATAATGATTTGGGAATGAGAGATCAGACAAACTAGGTAGAGAAATGCAAGGAGCTCTCGACTGAGGCTGCAGGGCTATGATGTGCCACTGTGTCCTCCTGAGAGAAGCTAAGAATGGAAGAAGCCCTATCAGTGTCTGGTTTGGAGAGCCAAAGGTTGGGGTCATTGACATGCATATGAAGTTGCCTTGTATGTAGCCTTGCCATTTGCCTACCTGCCATGGGTAAGCCCCCCCCCCCCGGCCCCAGTCCCCCACCTTTGAGAAAGTGCAAAATAGGAGAAAAAACAGCCTTCATAGTAACACTCTAGAAATTACCTTGTCTCTATGGTCTTTACCATTTACCTAGAGTGTCCTGTCACATCCCACTGAAACTCCACCCTCTAACAGCAATGCCCTTAAAATTTCTCAGTATTTGTCACGGCAGTGTTGGCAACCCTAGTTGTGAGGAGTCAGACTAACCATTAGTCCATCTAGCTTAGTACTGTGACTCAATCCTCAGGGTCTCAGGCACAGAAAAGTCTTTCTTAGCCCTGCTATTTGAGGTCCTTTAGCTGGAGATGCCAGGGACTGAACCCAGAATCTTTGGCATGTAAATGATGTGCTCTGTCTGAGAATTCTAGGCATCCTCTTCAAATGAGAGTTTCCAGGGTTCTTCGTGGGGCAGCCACATCAATTAGTATGGTCAACATAACATAAGTAGCACAAATCTGTCCTGCATTTCTCCACTTCCATCATGATTTATTAGGGAGCAGGGCACCCCAGGTAACACACTAGTAATTGTTTGTATTCACTAGCAATTTTGGATTTCCTGAGTAGTTTCCATTCCCATGTGTTTTGGAACAAGTGGGGGTTGGGAGAACCCTGAAAGGTAATTCTTTCTCTCCTCTCCTCATTCCTCCCCTGCCATCTGTTTTTCAGCAAACCTTGGACAATGGCAGGATTGGAATTGCCTCACAGGCCCTGGGAGTAGCCCAGGCAGCTCTAGACTGTGCAGTGGATTATGCTGAGAAGAGGATGGCTTTTGGTGCTCCCATCACTAAGCTGCAGGCCATTCAGGTACTGTTGCCAGGTGTCTTGGGAGCCCCCTTGAATATTGAAATATGTAAAATTTCTTTTTTTGGGGGGGAGGTAGAAGGTTGGGGAGGGGGAGTGTGTGTGGCGGTATTTTTTAAGTCACACTTCTCAAAGTCCAGTTGGATTATGAGGGGTCAGTACTGGAATTGGTTTACAAATTGCAGCGTGGTTCTTGGGGCTTTGTTATAGCCTATTGGGCAGGGAGCAGAGGCAGACAATTCTGTACCCAAATCAGACAATCCAAAAGGTGACCCATGCCCTCCCATTAGTGAACTTGGGACCATAATCCTCTGGGAAGCTGAGCTGCACAAGAGCTTGAGGGAGGCAAGGGCATGAGGGGAACAACTATTCAGTCAAGTTTTCCAAGGACTTCCTGGTGGATTGTGCTCCCTAGGGCAGGTGCTCTGTTTTCCATTGACCCGTTACCCCACCCTTTAACCTGACCTAGCTGTGTTAGTTGGGCTGCCTTAGAATCTGCGTTTAGTTTTGTATCTTGCGAACATGGGGTTGGATATGGTACAAGCATAAATGTAAGAAAAAGACCACAGTAGCCACTTGCACCAAGTCACTTATTGTATCCGCATTTGCATTTCCATGCGCATTAAGATCTTGTGGAACCAATTTCTTGGCCCTGTAATATATAGGGAGGAAGGTGCTAGATGTGGCACACAATCTTGCACAAGCAGAGCAGCACTAAGTCTGTTAACATTTCTGCTTGTGCATCAGTCTATCCAAGTCAGTGTTTTAGTGTGTGTGTAAAAAAAAAAAAGCACTGGAGGATAGTTGTAATTCAGGCATCTGTACATCTGCAGTTCAAGTTGGCTGACATGGCCCTGGCGCTTGAGAGTGCTCGTCTGCTGACCTGGAGAGCGGCTATGCTGAAGGACAATGGGAAGGCCTACACCAAGGTAATGTATTTTGTGTGTGTGTGTGGGGGGGTGTTCTTTCAGGTGTCCAAAAAAGCAATGTAAAGGGCAAGCAGCTCATTGGGCTTCCACTCCTGCAAAGCCCAGGGAAATGGGGATAGCTTCCAGGGCAATAGGCCTTCCCCCATTCCACAGCACAGCTGCCCCAACTATCCCTTTTTCAACAGGAAGCGGCAATGGCCAAGCTGGCTGCTTCTGAGGCTGCAACTGCTATTTCCCATCAGGTAAGCAGCTCTGTGCATGCAGTGACTGAGGACCTGAGGTGGGGGGAGGCTTTCCCTGTTGCAGATGTCCTATTGGTTTGTGAGGGACAAACAGAGCCCTCAGCAAAAGCTTTGGAGTGTTTTCATTGTTCTGACCAGAAAGCAACACAGCAGCTACACTGTGCGGGAGTGATTTACATGACTATTTCAAACCTGCAGACCTGGTGGGAGTCAGGTTGGGTCCCCTGGAAACTGTTTCCCAGCTTGTGCAGTCTGTGCTTCCCCCTTTTGTCCAACCCCAGGCTCATCTTGGTGTCGGTTAAATGCTTTGATTTCAGGCTATCCAGATACTGGGAGGGATGGGCTACGTGACGGAAATGCCAGCAGAACGGCACTATCGTGATGCTCGAATCACTGAGATCTACGAGGGAACCAGTGAGATACAGAGGCTGGTGATTGCAGGGCAACTGCTGAAGGAGTACCGAGGTTGAAGTTGCAAGGCTGGGGTAGGGGGAGACTTGCATTTAAGTGCCCCTTGATAGTAGACTGTGCCTTGGGCAAAAAGTACTTGTCAGCTGGGTGCCAGGGGCCAAGCCCTCTCCTTTGGTCATTGACCTTTTATGGGACTATGCAAAACCTGACCGGCCCAACTGCTTGGGAAATTTTGATTGTTCTGAAATGGTAGGACATGACACCTGTTAGGCTAACAGTAGCTAATCAGGGCACATGAGCCTTTTGAGAGAGGGCCCACAGTTCATTGGGTGAGTCTGTTTGGCTTGATGTTCAAGCTGCCTTTTTACAGAAATTGCACAATAAATACTGGGATGGCAGCTTTGTGCTGCAGGAGAACCAATCTTCATATCTCTGGGGAAAACGAGGAAAAGTGATGATGGTCTGACTCTCCTTGCACTATATCTTCAGGATGTATTGAATGAACCTGATTGTTTAACTGACATCTGTGTGAAGTATCAGAGTTACTTCAGCTGCTTGAGGGAGGTGGCGAAGTTGCAACTTGCAGAGCAAGTGAAGAAAAACCATAATTTGTACTGTCTTTTCATCAGTCTATTTCTGGAATGAAAGGGTGGGTAGGATTGGGGTACTGATACTTCCTTCAAGCACCAAAGAGCTCCTTCACTACCACAACAATCAGAGCCTGGGTACTCCGAGTGTGGCTGTACAATAGGGCAGCTGTAGTATTTAACCTCTACCTCTCTGCTGTAGCCAGTTCATTGGATTACAGTAAGTAAAGGTAAAGGTTTCCCTTGCTCGAAAGCCAGTCAAATCCGACTCTAGGGGACGGTGCTCATATATAACCTATATAGCTTATTCACCAGTTGTAGCCATCAACCATGGTAGCCAAGTGGCACTTTACACAGGCAGAGGCAAATGATGAGGTAATCAAGGCAGGAGGAGCTTGTTGTCTTTCTGTCCTGCTTGTGAGCTTCCCTGAGACAGATGCCCGGGGGGGGGGGGGGCAAAGCAGATGGGCTTCCAAGTCTGTTCCAGCAAAGCATGTGCTTTGGGGGGGTGGGGAGAAGAGACAGTACTTTACCTGCATTGGCAACAAAAATTTACATACCAAGAGTGGATCAAATTATCACAATCTATTATCTTTTTCCAATAAAAATATTCTCCATCCACCTCTTTAAAAGAAGTGCTATCTGTCTCAATAACTGTTCTTCATGTCCCTGCCCAAATTTAGAAAGAGAAACGTTCTATAGCCCTCGCTTCCTAGATTATGCAAGGACACTAGGCTCACTGACACCATGAAATGTGGCTTCTAGCAGAGTCTAATACTTTTAAATTTAAAAAAGAAGACGGCTCAAGGCCTTGCAGCTGAGGGTAACATCTTACTGGGCAACGGGTGTGTCTAAGACTAACATGAGTCAAGACCTCAAATATGAGCACCAGTCCCTGTTCCACTATGACCAAAAAATCCCTACTGCTACCCTAAAAACTCATTCATCCTTCTCATACTGTTATTTTGTGACTGGATGCAGCACCTCAGTGAAAAGGGTGGCTAGCCTTCCATTAAACAGTTCCTCAAAGAAAAGTATCAAACCATCATTTTTACAGTTAGTGACCAATATATTAGCTTGGAACAAGCCTGGGGGAAATGAGTTTTGATAAGTCTCTAGAGCCCCCCCCCCCAGTATCCCTTCTATCAGCATCAGCGAAGAGGTAGGCAAGCTACAATGATGGCTAAATTTGCCAATATAACAATCTGGTTAGCCCAATTTATTTCCAAAAGTTTTTGGTTTCTGGCACCTGAGCACAACTACATACAGTTAAAGCATTTAAGAAAAGGGAGAAAATATTCTCTACGGCAATGGATAAACTGCACCAGTTACATCAGTTACTGGTGCTTTTGATGCAGCTCGCAAATAAGAGTTTCATGGTAGCAACAACAGGAAAGATGTCAAAGCTACACAGTGCTGTCTGCATGTGTGTGTTAGGGTAGGAGCAGCAACATGAAAGGGCAGTCAGCTTACAACGGGCTGTGAATGTCTTCTAGCCATTCCTGCTGCCAAAGCTGCAGCCTTCCGGTTTAAAACAGGACTCCCCCTTGGAGACAGATTTTTATTACAGCCTATTTTAACAGTTGCATGTATGGACCTCATAAAGGAGATGGCTGGTGGGAAAAGACAAAAAGCTCAATGAAGAAGGGAACTGCTCAGTGAATGGTGGGTTAACACTACACTATAGGGATCCCAGTGACCCATGCGGCATTGACTGGGGATGGGGTGTGGACAGCAGGTTCAGTTGTGATACAACAGTGGATTCAAAGGTGTTAAGCACGACTTCAGGTCTCCTTCACAAGTGGCAGCACCTCCACAGCTAACAAAGGTGTTAGGAAAATTTTTTTATGGAACATGGTGACTGCTGCTGGGTGAATGACAGAACTGGAACCAGAAATTCCCTGATTCAACAGTCTTTGGGAAACTACAATCAACTACAGGTTTTCCTATGCACTAGAGGGGTAATAATAAATCTGACTTATGGATGTAAACATTACTGAAACCAAAATATTGAACATGCTGAATTGCTCTATAAATACTATTCACCAAATAAAACAGCTTCTCACCAACAACCGAACCACCCAACCGTCACACAAATCCAGCAACTGACCTTGATGCCAACTTTGTCCCCATATATACTTGGGTTATGGGACTAAGTGACATCAGCTACACCATCTTGGGCTCATCAACTTGAACATCATTCAGTTTAATATAGGCCACCCTTTGCCAGTAGTGTACTCCTTTCTGCATTGGACAAACATGTCCGTCTCTGAGTGAGAGAATAAATGAAACACAAATTGGCCATAAGAAACCACAACATCCAGAAACCAGTGGGAGAGCGTTTTAACCTCCTTAGGCATACTATTACAAACCTTGAAAAACAAACTTGCAGTTACCTGTAACAACTGTTTGTCGAGTATTTATTTATTTACTGGATTTATAGCCCACCCTCCCCTGTACAACAAGGCTCAGAATGGATAACAACATAGCCATAAATTATTAAAATCAGCTCTCAACAATACTATTACAGTCAAATATGATCTTCTGTATACGAGTATCTTCTGTGCAGGCATACATGGGGACTGCATGAGCAGGCCTGCCATCAAGAGAGGTTTTACAGCTAAAAGTCTCCAGGGGGTACTGCATGCTGGAGCCAGAAACTTGTTCCTGCCCAGAGACCATGAGTTCCTACACAGAAGCACCCCCATCCTCAGTACCCCTAACAGTGCTGAAGCTGGAGCATACAGCAGGGCAGGAGGAAGGGTATGTGTGCCTGCACAGAAGATACTCGAACAGTAGTTACAGGTAAGTGCAACTTTGTTTTCACCATCAATCTGTGTAGTCCCACATGGGAATTCTAGCAAGCTACTTACCAGGCAGTGGGGCATGCTCTCCTCACTTGAACAGGGAGTGTAGTAATGCCTTCTCCCACTTGAGCGTCTCATCTTGCCTGCAGATCCAACACGTACTGGCGTACAAACAGGTCTGCTGATGACCTAGTAGCAGCCCGGCACATCTCTGTCAGTGACACTCCATCGAAGAAGGCTGCAGAAGAAGCTATAGTTCTGGCAGAGTGGGCATGAAGTTCAGGGGGCATGGCAACCCAGCTAAACCATAGCATTCTCTAATGATAGAGACAAGCCTTCCTCCCTTCATTAGGCCCAGTAAAGCATACAAACAATGCTCTATCCCTGCAGAACTCCAAAGTTCTTTTAAGGTAAAACAACAATACCCTTCTAGCATTTAAGGAGTGCAACGAACACTCATTTTCAGAGCTTGGTGTAGGAAAGAAGATGGGCAAAATAATATCCTGGGATAAGTGGAATCTGGACACTACTTTAGGGAGAAACCTAAGACTGGGTCGAAGGATTACCCTCTTGGGAAAAATCTTCAAAAATGGGGGTTCTGCCTGCAGAGCTGCTAAATCACTCTCCTAGCTGATGTAACAGCCACTAAAAGACAGGCTTTCATAGAAAATTCAGCCAAGGAACATGTCACAAGAGATTCAAAATGCTTATGCATCAATTGTATTAAAACAAGTGAAAGAGACCACTGAGGAACCAATGTGTCCCGAGATGGGCAAAGATTATATAATCCCTTAAGAAATCTTTTGGACAAGTGATGGGAGAAAACTGATCCCTCATCAACTCCCTTGTATCAACGAGATGGCAGCCAGGTGAACCTTTAAAGAAAAAAAGGCTATAACTTTCTCAGGTGCAATAAATATTCAAATATGACTTGCAACAGAACAGTTCCCAGAGACATTTCCCTATCACCACACCAGAGAGAAAACAGCCCCCATTTATACAAACAGGACTTTCTAGTATTGGGTTTACGTGAATTCAGGAGTTCGTCATTAACTTCCTGGGAAAATATTAAATCTCTGTTCCAAGCCTCCACACAATCAGGTTGAGATGATTTAGATGGTGGTGGAACACTTGGTTGATATTAAGCCTATTTGGGCACGGGGAGGTACTGCCCCTGTGAAATCTCCATAAGGATCAGGAAACAGATTCGACGAGGCCAAAATGGGGCCACCAAAATCATATTCGATCTTTCTTTCCTGGCCTTTTCTCTATCACCCTGATAAGGAGCAGAAATGGGGGGAAACATATAGAATAGAACCCCCTCCCAAAGAATCTGGAACTCATCTCCTAGGGAACCTATGCCCCTCCCTGCTCAAGAGCGGAATCTCATAGCCTTTGTGTCTTCTCTTGTCACAAAGAGAGTCCCAGAGGATGAAGACTGGCTCCAGATACACAGTCTTTATGGACCATTCATGAGATAGCATCCCTGCTCTGCTCAATCTGTGAGCCTGATCGTTTTAAGTTTCCAGGTATATGAATGACCTGAATGTAAGCATTAAGCTTCAAGGCCATTAACCAAGTCAGGGTAGCCTCTTGACATAAGCTCTTGGATCCTGTGCCTCCTTGCTTGTTTAAATAAAACTGTTACAGTATTTGGAGCAATATGGACGAATTCTGCAGGATATCTGAGAAATAGCTAAGGGCGTTACAAACTGCCAGCAACTCTAACAGGTTAATATAAAGTTGCCTCTCCTCCCTTGACCACATAACCCTGTGCAGAAAATCCCTCACAGTGGGTGCCCCAACCCAAGAGTGAAGCGTCTGTGGTAAGGACAACTTCATGCTCAAGAACTCCAAAAGATATGCCCTGGGGATAAGTTGTCATGAGAAAGCCACCATGATGGAATGGACAACCTGTCTGGACATAGAAAATCTATGCCATTGGGGATGTAAGTCCACTCCATATCAGGACAGAAGCCAGAGCTTTAGGGGGCCACATATGTAGCCTGGTAAGGGGCAGCACTGCCATTGTAAAAGCCATATAGCCCAAAAGGCAAAGGATTTTCCAAGCTGATTGGAACCGGTTCGATCAAAATTGCCTAGCAAAAACAGAAATGGTCTGTACTCTGTTGGGGGGAAGAAACCTCTCCCTGCTATGGAATCCAACATGGCTCCTATAAATTGTGCTCTTTGGGACGGGATTAAATGGGACTTCTCCCAATTTACCAGGAGTCCCAGTCTCTGGCAGGTCTCCAAAACTAGGGAACAATGCCTCAATAACTGGTCTCTGGAATCCAGCAGCAGCAGCCAGTCATCCAAATAAGGGAAGATATGGCAACCTTGCAAATGCAGGTAGGCAACCACTGCAGCTAAACACTTTGAAAATACCCTGGGTGCCATGGCCAGACCAAAAGGCAAAACAGTGTACTGAAACACAGGAATCCCACAAGTGTAGGAACGTGCAGTTTTGAGGATGAACGGAAACGTGAATGTAGGCATCCTTTAAATCAATAACAATAAACCAACAGTTAAACTTTAATAACTGTAAAATTGAGGGAATAGAAACCTTACAGAACTTGGAAATATGGAGAAAAACATTCAAACTTCTGAGGTCCAGAATGGGCCTTGTCCGTCTGTCCATCCCCCCATCGATCAGGAACATCCAGGAGAAAAACCATTTAGGTGCCTGGACTTTGACACCTCAATCGCACCCTTTTCAGTTAAAGCACTTAACGCCTGGGACAGGTCTAGTTCTGTCTGGCTAAATACTCCCATCGGTAAAGAACATGGAGGAACCAATTTAAACT